GAAGAATCTTCTACAGTTTTGTTACATTTTGGCCGTAGAAAAAGCCTGCATCTCTAGTACAACTCCAAACCCACGAAGAATCATCCGCAAAAACCTGCATGGAGCGAGTTTACTGTGTCCAAATGAGAAGGTCTTCCATGCCTGCACAGTTCCACACAGATGTTTATTAGCCATCAATGTTCATCTCCATCTTGCCTTGTCAGGTCACTCTGACTGCCTCTGTTGGCATATATTTAGCAATGACTGGACTTTCTTTGCAAAGATCTGCATGTAAAGAATACAATCAGTACTCGAGCTTCTTCCCTGCGCCTTTCACGTCACGCTCGGCATCTTAGTGTTAAAGGAAGGAGGAAAAGGTGAGATAGCTACATGCAGAGGCAGCCATATTCTTCTTCAACAGGGTTTATTTTTTCCATGCAGTCAGCCCGACTGAGACCTCTCTACAGTGTGTCTGAGTATTGCTTTCAGCTCAAAAGAGGCGCCCATGCAACGTTTCATCCTACTGCGCTTGTTTGCTCAAGCTCCTGCAGGGTTCCTATGGCTCAAAAATATCCTGAGAAAAGCAAAATCTTCCATCGTTGGCATGTTTCAGCAGTGCCTAAATGCCTAACCCATTGCATCTACAGAGCCAGGAGAATCCACCATTAGCCACAAGAAGCGGGTGCCAGCGTGATGCACCGGGAGCGAGCCTAGCTGGTGCATCTGCCCTTCATCCTAGGTACTGATACCATGCAGCGTGTATGGCCCACCAGTACTATGGAAATGCCTGCCTGCTGCCATCGGGATGCTATCAGGAGTGTTGTCACCTAGCGGCAAGGGTAACACCGTTCCCAGCAGGTGCTACCGTGAGACATTGCATCTTCAGACTTAGTCACCTGGGTTGTATGCAACATGGCATAGGCTAATCGGAAATAAAGCTTTTTTTTTAGACCATTCTCTGCTACTGATCCATGCTACAAAATAGATGGGATGGGAGACCAAGAACGTCTCACTGGACTAGGAGAGCTGTAGGGCGCAGACACTGAGGATAATCCTATCGCTTTTCCACTTATGCCAGCTATGCTGTTAAGGCTCCGTGACATTTCGTAACCTTCATTTAAAAGAAAAATGCAAAGTACAGCATTGGATCAATGACAGAATGGACTAAGAATGAGGTCAACATTGTAGCCAGTTCAATAGCATCTGCATGCACGGACATGCTGAGAGTAGTATCGCTTGCAACATGATTCGGAAGGCCATTGAAGTAAAGAAGTTTAACACAAAAACAATTCATTATCATTTCTCAAGGAGGGTCAGGCTGTATAACTGATCCTACAGGCAGCAACATGGTAGTATCCTAGGAAAAAAAAGTCAATGGGAGGGGTTTTTCCATGTCTTTATCAAACACTCACGCGTACCTCGGCCCTGTCACTTCATGCATTTTGACCTCAGGCAAAATTAAGGTAGCTTCAAAAGGAGAAGGGCGGGGAGTGAAAAGAAAGAAAAAAAGGAACAACAACAACAACAACAACAACGAAAAAAAAAGGTAGCAACATCCATGGAATTTATTCAGTTGCTATAGAGATACTACTCCTTTGTTCTCAGCGGTAAAGAAACAAAAAGAAGGAAAACCAGAACTGCATGCACTCCCGTTCCCTCCCCCTCCCCTTCTCTTTCAGACATGCACGGAAACAGCTCAGCAAGTGGACAGAGTTGCACGAACTATGGATGAAGTTCTGTTGGAACAGCAGTTAAGATGCTCTCAACGTGTTTCAAACAGGCCAACAATATGCTGACGTATATTACTCTTTAGCCAACCAGCCTCTGTTTCATCCAGGAACGAGAGGCAGTTGCAGTGCATCGTGAAAACCAGACATTCCTCATCCCCAAGGATGTGCCATTTGGAGTGTTCTCCTGATCCACTGGAACCACCCAAACTCGCCCGGGCTGAATGAACGGGGCCAATGCTCATCCGATACAGAATCGAGTAAAACACTTTGCTACAAAGGTCAGTTTTAGAAGATATACTTTCATATGAAAGTGTCATGCTCCAACTATATCTTTGTTGATGATAAGCGTTAAACTTGTAAGTACCTACACTATCTATAACTGGCGTTTACTATAACTATTGCCCATCATACAATGGCACGTGGGAATTCTATGCTCCATACTCAGCGTATGGTAACGACGTACAATTTGTGCAGATTTAAAATATTGACTATATCTCATGCTATATACAGCGCACCAGTGATAAACACTGATTTGAAGATAGGGATATCTTTTCCAATTTCTCCATTCCTTATCAATTTCTGTGCGTATGTATGGAGTTCTAATTTCGGTGAGTATGGTTTCCTTGTGGTAAATTATTTAAGCAAGGCTTAGCTTATCTTAAGGGAAGGGGGGTTAATTTGATTTGACTTGGATTTGCGAGATAGATGATTGTGATCGTTATCAAAGTAAAATGCAGTCGCTTCTGACAGATCYGTAGCTGTCAGAAGCTGGAAAAAAATAGCTAGTCATGATTCATTTATTGAAAGGAAAATGATTTGGGGTGGATTGTTTTCCAATTGTATGACACCTGTGCTAGCAGATGTTCTTGTGTGCTTCTGCTGAACTATGAATATCCAAGGAATTTGCCTTAGAGCTCTCTCTGTTAAGGTGGCTGAATAATTGTTCCATATTCCTTGAGGATATCTCCCTTTGCTTGTGCTTTGGGTTGTTGTCTGCCACCTCCAACTCTGTGCTCTGCAGAGTGCAGTGAGATCCGTGAGCTTTCCGA